AATGTATCCCACCTACAGTAGTCCTTACTAGAGTTGTTACAACATCAACTGGTTTAAGCCAAACACATTGGTGTCATACTTGTCCTCTCTTACTTTCAAACTCTTCCTCACTTCATTTCCTCTCCACCAGAAAATTCTCTTGACTCTTTTCTATCTTGTACTTCTTACTAGTTCCAATACTACTCACATAGTCTGCAAGACTGTTTTCTTTAAATAGAATAAGACAGACTAGTTTCCTGATTCTACTTTTGCATCACCCCTGCTTTCAAGAATAGTCTCAACAAAGCAACCATAATGATCCTTTTAAAATTAAATCATACCAGTGACACATCAGTAAAATGTGATGCTCTGTGAAGCAACCCCACATGAGAATGTTCCCAAGTTCAAGTCCAGGAGACCTTCCTGAATATGCCAGGCACATGCTAACCCATAAGCAAAAGACTAGGGGAGGATCATGACATCAGGATACTGTGGAATGCCATCTCTCTCTGGTCCCTCTCTCTTTCTTATTCATTCATGAAAGAGACAAACTTTTAAATTAATTGTAGCATGTCATTCCTCTGCTCAAAATCTTCCACTGACCTTCCATTGCTCATTCACAGAAAAGGATAGTCCTCACAATTAAATACAAGAGTCTACACAATCTTACCGTATTACCTCTCTACCTCCCTCTCTTATTCTTCCTCCATGCTCAGTCAGTTGGATCTACACTGGTCTCCTTGATGCCCTGAAGCACATTTGTCGTCCTTTTACCTAAGACCTTTGCACTATTTGCTTTCTCTGCTTGAACACTCTTCTCAAAATGTCTACAGTGCTAATTTCCTCACTTTTTAAAAGTTTTGTCTCAAATGTCACCTTTTCAAAGAGGCCCATCCTAATCACTTATTAGTATGTCAACCCGCATACCCTTTACATTTCTGATCCACTTCCTCTCCTATATTTTCTCCCCACATTGATGATATATTATACACTTTATTTTTTATTACAGAATATTTATTACCTCCCTGAAATACAGTGTAAGCTTTAAGAGGAAAGAGATTTTCCTTTTTGAAATATTCCAAATGCCTAGAATAGAGTTCAATCAAGATTTTATGAAAGCATTAATAGGTTAATATGTTCTTTTTTTTTTTTATAAATTTTATTTTTCTCATCACAACACACATATGAATTTTCCATCCAAAATACACTGTGCATTGGCTCAATCAAGCACATCAACATACATGTTCTCGGCAGATGATTTCCCAATTCCCGTGTCCTGCATACCTTGCCTTTTGTTTTGCCATCCTAGATTCCCCATCCCCACCCTCTGCCATGTCCCATCTTCCTCCTCCATTGTCCCTAACATTCATGATTGCCCTCAATGCCTTCCGCCCCCCCCCATTCAATTGTTCTACCAATGAATTCAATTAGTCCAAGTATATCCACTAGCTAGCACAGCTGACATATCCTTACACATGTATCCAAATCTGATCCTAGGCATAAACCCCAGGGAGTAGAATGAACATACTATAAAGTAGACCCCAGTTGTGTTCATACTACTCTCTACAGTCATCAAATATGCATTTTTTTTCCTCCTGCTTATTATTATTATTTTTTTATATTAAATATTGCCTAACACTCATTCCCTGAGTATCATCACAACACACCAAGTGTAGTTTCCCATCTAGGATAAACTGCATAGTGTCTTAATCAAGCATGTCGTCACCAATACTGTTCCATTTCTACTTTCATACATATAAATATGTTTTTTATCCTATGTTTGACCCTCAGCCCTTTCCCCCTCTCCCAATTACTCTATCTCTGCTATAGACAGCTATCCTCCAGAGGGGTCATTGAAAATGCGATACCTGCGAGTAGAGGGAGAGGGGTCACGAGTCCAAAGTTTTTAACAATAGGGAAAATAGATTCCATTCAAGGTTGGATCAAGTGTGGGTCTCGTGCAGTTCCGCAACTGTAGGTGAGTCTCCATGGAATACAGTTTCAGGAAGGCGGTTCTGGCAAGCAGAGTTGACCATCAGTTGATGCGGCACAGCAGCCATCTTGTGGTTAGAAGGAATGGTGTTGTGGAGGTCTGCAGCGTGACTTATCCTCTGGTGTCTGGCTTCCCTAAGAATGGCAGGGTAGTTCCTGTTCTTGCCTGAGGTAATGCAGGGCTGGTATCCATCATCTTCTCACTGTCCATAGGTAGATAAAATCCTTCTCTACAGTGTATTTCTCAGTTGGTTTAAGGCAGTTAAAGGTTCTTTCTGTTGCTTATAGTTGCAAGTTCTTAATCCTTCTCTTCAGCTTCAGCTGGCTGGCCCAGAGGCCGCGCGGCGAGGGGGGGGGCAGGCGCGTGCGGCGGCGCTGGCTTAGCAGGGACCTGGGGGGACACGCAGAGCCCGGAAGGGCCCGCGACGTCCCCAGGCCGGACGCAGCCTTGGCGCCTGGCGCGCCTCCTGC